CCCCCCCTCTGCTTGCAATCTTTTTTCATCTGCTGGACATCCATGTATTTTCATACTTTTATATTCCAATATTCAGTATAATTCTCTTCCCTGTACAGTAAACAGCTATATCATGTATTATTCTGCTGCTCTGTGCTGTTTTATCCCTTCATTCTATAACTTTTTTTCCACCTTTCCGTCCATCGTCTGAAACCGCCTGTCCTATTCAGGGTGGCGGGGGGTCTACGGGCACGAGGCAGGGAACGACCCAGGGTGGGGCGCCAACCCATCACAGGGCACAGTCTACTTATATATTTTTCTTAATTTATGTTCTTTGTTCTTACATGTTGTCTGTGAATGTACACACCAGGGCTGCCAAAACGAATCCCTAGTACATGCAGTCGTTCCTGCCCTGTGTGTAGCTGTGAGACTGACTGACCGTCTGTGTGTGTTTCTGCTCGTGTCTCCAGGTCACGGCCCCGTGGTCCAGGATGCTCTCGGTAAGATCCAGCAGTACATCGCGCACAGGCAGCTCCGTGAGCAGCAGATCCTGGCTGCCCTGCAGGCGGGAGCCGGCAAATCTTTTACCGCCGCTGAGCTTGTCAAGCTGATCTATAAGGTACAGGCATGCACAGGAAGCGCCGCCCTTTCGACATGCAGCTCATCCACGCAGCTCATCCACGCAGCTCATCCACGCAGCTCATCCACACAGTACCTCTGCAGTGAAAACGCTGCACTGAAATCTGCCTAATTAATAACAGCTTATTGCCTTTTGAATCTATGAGCTGCTGGCTTTCCATGCGGACTTCAGCTTGATGGAACAGTGTAATATCCTGATGGCTCTAAGGCAGAATTATGGAGTTTAATTCAAGATCATTTATAATCATTATTCACAAGGCATAACCAGGCTTTATAAATCCAGATTTTAATGTCAACAAAGGCATGACCCCCTACCAACGTCATATGTAAGTTGAAAGATATAAATTGAGCAGATTGTCTGTGGATAGTGAACAGTAAAGCCTTTGGTGACCGTCGTCAGTTTCTGTAATTGTGTGCGTCAGCATAAACACTCATAAGCACAAGCACAGCAGAGCCTGGTAATGAGGGACTAACGAAGCCATTGTTCCTCCGTCTCTCTCTCCCTCTCTCTCTCCCCCTCTCTCTCTCTCGTTCTCTCCCCCTCTCTCTCTCTCGTTCTCTCCCCCTCTCTCTCTCTCGTTCTCTCCCTCTCTCCCTCTCTCTCTCCCTCTCTCTCAGGAGACACCTCCACATCTACACGGGGCGGCCGAGGTGAACCTCCTGCATCACCTAAATAAGTTGGAGAAGGAGGGCAAGATTGGCCGTGGTGGGTGAAGCCTTGGTGTCTGTGGCATTTTAAGGGGCAGTTTATAGGGTTAATTATAGTTAGTTTGTAGGCATTCGTGTGTTTATATGCAATGTTTTATGTGGTGTTTCATGGTGTGGATGGATTTAGGTGGATGTGCGCTTTATACCTCCATCTAAATGCATCCAGATTAAGAGGTTGGAGGATGGATGGGTTGTTCATAGCATGTTAGGCTCCGCCCCCTGTGAGCCAACATAAGGATGGATTGAATGTGTGGTTTATAGAGTGTGTTTATCCAGAGTGTCCTCCTGACTCCTCTCCTCTGCACAGCGAGCGGCGCGTCCGAAAGCTGCAGGTGGAGGAGCAGTTTGTGAGCACTTCAGCAGCGTCTGCAGCAGTCTACGTCAGTTCCAGGGAGCGTCCATCTTCAGGCCTGTCACCCTCTGCTAAAGCACATCACCTACTGGGCATCTTTCCATTCGGGTTCAGGCAGATGTTTGCCGTTTAGCCTGGATGGTTGATGACTTTACTCCACTGTGGTCTGATGTTCGCTTTGCTCCTGCGAGTGTTTGTCAGAAGGTCTGATGCCACAGGATAATTTTTAAACACAAAGTATGACCTTTATAATATTAACCCGGTATTTTCATAGGTCAGGTTCACTTGGCTCACATGACATGAAAAGATGCATCTCTTTATGGATTTCAGCCCTTTTTTTAGACAGGATGGGATCAGATTGTTTAATAAACATGGTAATTGGTAAATAATCCTCAGAGCTGTAAATCCACTAATAATTTTTTGAAGGTAAAGGAAGTTCAACAGTCAAAAACACTTGTAAATCCTAAAATGACGGACTTGTTCCGGTTTGTTCTGAGCATGTCTGCACCAGTCTGTCTGGCGCACCGTTGCCTGGCTACATTTAAACACGAGACGTGATTGCTCGATAATGGTAGTCTGGGCTGAATGTAAGTGAATGGAGAAAGTACATTTAAACCGGGGCACCCTGAACTAAGCACAGAACTTGGGCCTGTATGGATTTCATGCTTAGTCGCTTAACCTTTTGTATTTCAGGTTCCCCAGTTTAAATGGACTTTTTCTTCGTTCACTTACATTTAGCCCAGACTGCCTTAATTATCCATCTTAGGTTAATTCTAGGTTATTTTCCAGGCTCTGACTGACAGCTATAGGCTAGTAAATAGCTGAGACCCTCCTTCCTAGTTCCGGGAAAATGGCGGCATGTTTATAATCCCCAAGCGGCGTCTCTGAGGGCGTCAGTCCGAGCCAGCCACAGGATAGGAGGACTCAGACAAATGGAATATCATTGAAAGAAAACAAATTCCAGAGACTACAGAATATAGATATGTTTTTAGGATTTCAGAGCCCAAAACCAAACCGAAGCTAAATTCATATAATAAACGTTAGCGGTTATCATTAGCTTCCGCTAAATAATTTTTAGTGGTTTACCAGTTTATCGAATTAAACTTTGGAGATAGCGGTTATCAAAACTGTGCCCACCACTGATATTCTGTACACCCACAGTAAATACATCTTATTGGGGTACAGTGCACTAATGCACTGCAGATAGCCTGGGCCATAGGCCAGCCAGGGACCCCCGACAACTTTTCAGTGCTCAGACCTTTTATTGTTCCTGCACTGGAGCTTGAATTAATGGAGGCAGAAAAATCATATGTTTGCATAGATATGGAAATCACTGCATCGGTGCATTAGTAATGACCATTTAAACATGTATATTTTTGTAAATTGAGTCTGTTTATGTGATATGACAAATATAATGTATGATATTAAAGATATCAAAATGTGTGTTTTTCATGAAAAACACTGGAGTGGAGAAACAACAAAAAATCGTTTCCTTTTTTTTTCTTTTATTGCAGTAAATAAAACCATGCTTTGTCCCCTGATCTGCGAGCTTGACATGCTCAGCTGCTCACAGTGGAGTTAGTGGATCAGTTGGCCCTCCGGTTTCCTGTAGAGGGGATAAAAATGTTAAACACCAAAATGGTGTGATGGCAAGAGCAGAGGAGCCTGCTTCAGCAGGGGTTAGACGGCTGAAATAGCAATGACACCTCCGGACCAGTTTCAGCAAGTCCAACGGCGTTTTATAAATCAGGTTTAAGGGACTTCATAAGCTCTGGGAGTCCGATTCATCTTCAAAGTGCACATTCAGACCCCACTAGTCCCATTTTCGGAGGGAATCTGGGCACGTCTGGTTCAGAGGACACTCAGGGTTTAATGCTACTGAAGCTGCGGCCGTCCCAGGGATTCCGGGCAGCTCTCACTCTCGGCTACAGGGGTCTCTGTGAACTCGGACTCTGGGTTCATGGGCTTGTGAAATGGAAGAGGCTCACCTGAGACAGAATGAGAGGGAATCTGCAAATCCCGCTACCGCCACCCCTGACTGCTACCCAGAGAAGAGCTGCATGCCAAAAATGCAAATATGTGTTTCTGTTTGGTTAAACATTTATGCAAACATTTAAGTGGCTCAAATATTAACTCTCAATAAGACTATTTGCATAGCAAAAAATGTATACACAATTATATAAATCCCCAAAAAAGCAAATGTATTTTTATGTGCATAAATAAGACTGAGGATTTTACTTCCTAGCAGGAAAGAATTTACCCTGCAAATATTTTTCTGTTTATATTTTAATATAAACCAGACAGAAATGGAATTAAACAGAAAATCAATAACTACTTTTCTATAAACCTTGTAATCTTCAGAATGCACTGCAAACCTGCTGTCTGTCTGCACTGAAAAAATGTAAAAGTAACACTTCAGATGTCAACCCACATAAACCTCTTTTTAATTAATCATTTTTGATTTCCTGTTTTAGTCTGATAAATGAAATATGGAAGAAATATTCCGCCTGCTGTCAGGCAAATGTCTATTTCAAATATTTAATAATTCATGTACTTCACATACTTCAAAATGCCTTTTGTAAGTTTCAGTATTCCATGTTTTCAAGCTAATACTGATGGTTTTCAAAAGACCTGTTTTGCACGTACACCTGCAAACACATTTCGGTGTAGAAATTCACCTCCCTGGCTTTTTTAAAGGGCCCAGTGTACACAGACAAACACGGAACATTTCCACAGAGGATGACAAAAACAGAGACACCAGCTATTCAAACCCTGCGTCTTGGGAGCTGAGAGTTGACAGTGTCACCCGCTGTGTAAAACCCAGGAGAGCCGTCTGCATGAGTCTGGAAGTCGAGCGCACAAACTCACGCTGGTCCGGGGCCCGTCATGCCGTCCTCGCTCTCCGTGTCACTGGGCAAAATCCAGGGTTGCTTCATGGCCTGTAGCTGCTGGTAGAATTCAGCCTGTAGGGGGGCAGCATGAGAGCGTGGGGTGGGGGTCCAGCTTTTACATGGCACTCTCGGACGTCTCGGGGAGAGAATACCCCAGAGACCGTTTTGGGAAGACTGTCTTTGGGTTAACACTGGACAGAGTGTCTAGAAAACAGCACAGCACAACCCAATGACTTTGGAATAAATAAATATAAATATAATAAAGAAATAAATATAAAATCTCTAAAAGCAAACTCTCCCAGCTTGTCTTTCAAGATGCTGTAAGCTGTCCCATTTAAATCCCCCTGAGTCCCCACCCATTCATTTATGTCCATTGTAGTGGACGTGTTGTTTTTGCATCTATCTTTTCACTGATGTAAGGAAACATATTTATTCCTGTTGTGCACTAAAGAGGACATGCTTTGAAATTTAAAATAAATTTGAAAAAATCTCAATTGTAAGATGTCTTATTTCCTCCAAAGACAAATGACCTAAAATTGAAAGACACTTTTTTCCTTGGGTCTCAGGCCCTGAACTACATCCATCACAAGATCATAAGAAGCCTACACCCGCTCTCGGTCAACAGAGGGTATATGTTATGGGATGCTAATCATACAGCACACACATATATACACACTGTGGGTCATTTAGAGAACAAAAAACATCCATGTGAACTTCCCACCTAGGACTATTCAGACCTGACCCTAGACCAGGGGTGTCAGACTCCCGTCCTGGGGGGCCAGAGTCCTGCACATTTTTGGGTTTCCCCTCATTTAACACACCTGATTCAACTCCTTGTGCTAATTACCACGCAGCTCTTGAGCTGAATGATTTGTGGTGGAACAGGGAAAGAACTAAAGGCGCTTTTCCACCGCACAAAGTACGGTACTTTTGGTGCTTTCGCTTTTCCATTGACTTCCGGTCGAGTACCAGTATCGAAAGTTCCAGTACCGAAAATGCCAAACCAGCTGGGGTACTTCTTTGGTATTTCAGTACTTAGGGGTGGGACTTGCAAACGTAGTTGCTGTCGATTGGTTAAGAAAATAGCCCGCCGCTGAAACACAAAATACAACCGCCATCTTTTGAAACACAGCAAACGGCGAGAAACAAAATAAAAAGCAGTAGAAACAAAAATATTAAAAAAGTCAAATGGAAGGATGGACAAACGAGGAAACACAGGCTTTAATCGCCATATGGTCGGATGAACAGATCCAGCGGGACTTGGATGACACGACTCGGCATAAATAAGTATTTGCCGTAATAGCAAGCCGCTTGGAAGAAATGGGGCACACGCGAAACACCGAACAATGCTGCTTGAAAATCAAAAAACTTAAGCAGGACTACAGGAAAGTAAAGGATCATAACATGTTTGAATTCAGCAAAAGAAATACCGCGTCGCGCTTTGTGATGATGTCAGTCAGGGGCGGTCACTAATGATGTCACTTGGTGCCGGTACCAGTTTTTACGGCAAGTGGAAAACCGACACAAAAGAAGTACCATACTTTTGGTACTTTATGGAAGTACCGAAAGTACGGTACCTGGTGCTGTGGAAAAGCACCCTAAGCTACACTGGGCTCCGGCCCCCCAGGACTGGAGTTTGACACCCCTGCCCATTAGGTTTCGGATGGGACTCAGTCAGGAAGCTTAATCCCACAGATGTTCATCATCACCAAATATAGCAAGCTTATCCTTGATGGAGACATACTGAGTGTTTACTATTTGTTTACTGTTACTTATAGTATATTTAAAAAAATGTATTAATAAACGTATTGCCAAGTTATTTCCTCCAGAGACATTACCAAGTATGCAATATTGAGCGGTCCACTAATTACCTCTGAAAGAATGGAGTTTGGACTGTCAGTCGGCCATAAGACCTCATTGTTGGTACCTGCTGGAGTAATCAGGCCAGTTGGATCAGTGGGCGTAACACATCTGTTCCTCCCAGTCTGATTGGTTGGTGTGATGGAGCCCCTCCTCCCAGTCTGATTGGTTGGTGTGATGGAGCCTCTCCTCCCAGTCTGATTGGTTGGTGTGACCGATCTGCTTCTCCCAGTCTGATTGGTTGGTGTCACAGATCGGCTCCGCCCAGCTTGATTGGTAGGTGTGACTGACCGGCTCCTCCCAGGCTTATCGGTGGGAGTTGTTGGTATGTTCCACCCACCCTGATTGGTGGGTGTACTAGGAATGCTCCATCCAACGTGTTTTGAGGGTGCTGTAGGAAGGCTCCACCCAACTTGTTTGGTAGGTGTGTTTGATATACTCCACCCAGCTTGTTTAGTAGGCGTGCTGGGTACGCTCCATCCAGCATGTTTGGTGGGTGTGTTAGGTACGCTCCACCCAACATGTTTGGTGGGTGTGTTAGGTACGCTCCACCCAGCATGTTTGGTGGGTGTGCTTGATACGCTCCACCCAACTTGTTTAGTGGGCGTGTTAGGTACGCTCCATCCAACTTGTTTAGTGGGCGTGTTGGGTACGCTCCATCCAGATTGCTTGGTGGGTGTCATTGGAATGTTCCACCCGCCTTGACTGGTAGGTGTGCTAGGAATGCTCCATCCAGTTTGTTTGAGGGGTGTGGTAGGAATGTCCCATCCAGATTGTTTAGGGGGTGTGGCAGGAATACCCCATACAGATTGTTTGGGGGGTGTGGCAGGAATACCCCATACAGATTGTTTAGGGGGTGTGGTAGGTCTGCTCCACCCAGCCTGATTTGTGGGTGTGGTAGGTCTGCTTCGCTGAATCTGACTGGTTGACCCCAGAGTTCTGCCCCACCCTGAGTGACTGGTGGGTGTGACAGTCCTGCTCTTCTGCAGAAAGGCATCTGGACTTCCGCCCTGGCTGAGGAGGCCGGCGGGCGTACCCGGGGGCAGGACCGGGCACCCGCTTGGCGTCCTCGCTCTGTTGCTGCTGTTGGTGGGCATGTGCAGAGGCCCTAGGAGCAGGGAGGTGGGCTTGTTTCCCAGAATGGGCAGGGGACTTGCCAGCTTGGACAGTTGTTCTGACAGGGGCAAATTTTGGAGGGCGAGGGGGGGTGGCAGGAGCAAACTGCTCAGGGGACTGCGGGGACCCCTCCCTGGCTTCTCCTCCATCGCCTTGGCAACATATTTCTCCAGATCTGCTGAAAGCACAATGAGGGTCTATCAAACAATAACTGCACTGACGTTACCTTCACTGCACTGGTAATTCACCAAATCACTGTTGTATGATAGTTAGAATCTCTCCACGCCATTAGGGGTTAGAGAACGTAGGTAAGAATGTGTATTATTTTAAGTGCTATACTTGCATGAAGAGGGTGCAACAATGTAAAATTGTTGAGACGGTGTCATTGTAAATGATTGGTGTTGGACTGAATGGAGGCCTGTACTCAGGGTTTGGCCATGATGTGGGAATTACCTGCAGTGTGTCCACCCCCGTTTGCCATTTCCCCCAGCTGGCTCAGCCCCATAGAACTCCAGTCCCTGATTGGTGCAAACCCAGAAGACCAGCCAGGTGCACCCTGGGTAAAGTATAGAGACACGTTACAAAATATAAGATGTATTCAGGGCCCTTCTGTTATAATGAGAACATAAATAATCTTATGACGATATTAAAACTGTCCACTCTATTTTCTGCAATGTAGTGCCTTGCTTCTCAGTAAAAAAAAAAAAAAAATTGATATAATGAAAATCAAAGCTATCTGTGATTAATTCAATAACCAATAAAGAACCACCATCCATCTTCTAACCATTTATTCTGCTCAGGGTCACCTGGAGACTCTCAGCCAGCATAAGGGTGCACACACAGTCAAACTCTATGAGCATGAATACTGCAGGAGGAAGTCCACGTCACACGGGGTGAACATGCAACCTCCAAACAGAATGGGGGTGAGATTCGAGGCAAACGTGCAACCTGACTCAGTCACGATGCACACAACTGCCAACAAACCGTAACTATCAAGATTTGCAATCAAGTTGGTCACACGGATATTGCAATTAGGCCATGCAATTTCAATCCCATTCTCCCCCAAGACTGTATTTGCATGCTGAGGTAAACAACTCGAAAGAAACGAAGACCACTGAACATTAAGACCATAAAAGCAGGGCAGTATGGAAGAGCTGACTGAAGGTTATACGGAGATATCTCAGATCAGAATAGATAAGGAGATCGGGATTTTACTCACTGGTCTTGTGACTTGAGACACACTCTCACCTTCCTCCACAGACGTCCTCAGATCTGGAACTGGGTCTGTTGAAGACAGCAGCCATTCACACGTTTACAACGACACACTATTCCTAACTTTCACATTCTCCAGGCTGCATTTCCTGAACTTTCTCATGGTTTCTCTGTCACCAACAGGCCTTTGTGAGCCACCCAGTGAGAAATGAGTGCAGATGATTAAAGATCTAAAATGTTCAAGACCAAATGAGGATGAATCCATCTGTTGGTGCTGCATGCAGCATGATGTCACTACTCACACTGGACTTCAGGTACTTCCTGGACACAAGACTCCTCTTCTTCTCTTGTGTCTGCAAGGCCGTCCCCCTGAAGTCTGGACCGGAAGGAAGACGGGAGCTAGTGGATACAGTATCACTTCTGGGACAATAAACGTTGGCATTTTGCTTCGAGGAAATAGCTCTGTCAGGATAGAGACCTAGCTATACATCAGACCGTGGAGAAGAACATAGTTGTCAGGGACAGGCAGGTCAGACGTTCAGGGGCATCTAAAGGATACAGGCTCAGAGGTGTTAAGCCATTGGGTCACACACACCTGGCACACCTGGAGCAGATGTTGAGGGTTAGCTTGGCCTGGGGTTGGGGGCTATGGGAGCCACGCCCGTGGCTGGCCTTGGTGCGGCTTGGCATTAGGTTGGTCACGCCCTCCATCCGTAGATCATCCAGGTCCTCTGCGGGACAGAGGCAGGAGCAGGCAGCAGGTGGCGTAGAGGTTATGGAACTGTCCTTGAGACCAAAAGGTGACAGGTTTATGTCCCAGGAGAGGCTCTCGTGTGAGAGAGAAAGAGAGTTTCTTTCCTCTGTTCTTACCCATCAGTTCCATGGCTTCATCTTCATCATCAATGTCTGAGTCTGAGACATAGAGGCTACCTGTTGAGTCGAAGGACTCCTGAGCCAACATGGCCGCCAGCTGTTTCTTGTGATACAGCTGCTGCTGTTTCAGGCTCCTGCTTTTCGTTACCATCTTCAGGCTGGGGGCGGAAGTGTGGGTTTAGCCAGAGAGATGCTTTTAGGCCAACATTTAAGTTCTTTCAGGAGTTACTATATTTGTATAAACCTTTTCTCAGATATACCGTGATAGTGAAAAAAGCGCATGCTGAGGACTCAGACATACACACAGACCTCACTATTGGCTCACTGGTCTCTCTGTAGCCCCTGGGTAAAGGTGGATGAAGCATCTCTGAAGCCAGGGGATCGGCATCACTGTCTGCGCGGCCAGTCCACCGGCCAATCACTCGAGGCCGTTGCAAGGCGGAGTTAAAGGCCTTGATCGGACGAGCATTGGTTAGGCCTGTCACTCAGATCCATCACAGAGGTTGCGTGTGGTCAACCAGAGCCGACCACCAATCATTAGCCGAAAGATCCGCGTGTGAGAAACGCCGATTTCTGAGGCTCACGAGCTAAAAAACTCACACCAATCAATAAAAGGCAAATTGGTTTTCAAGAAGAATTTCAAAAAAGCCCTCTTTACCTGGTCAAGTTCATCTGAGGCTGCCAAGCCTGTAAAACAAAGATCTTGCCTGTAAGCTAAATCGCCAGAAGTTTCTTACACTACATCAGTAAGTCCATATTTCTTAAAATATCCATCCTTCTTCTGTAACCATTCATCCATACAGCATTGCACGATATTTTTCGCACTCTTCATTTTAATTATATGAAGCACTATGTTATCCCTCTGTCCTGGTTCTCAGTACGGGCTCCAACTCCGGTCCTGGACAGCTACTCTCCAGTAGGTTTTCTATCTTCTTCTGATGAGCCACACCTGACCTCAGGTAAATATCAGGAGCAGGTGTGGCTCATCAGAAGCCAGGTAGGATAGGAAACCTACTGGATGGTAGGTCTCCAGGACCGGAGTTGGAGGCCCATGCTGTTGGCTCTCCAGGAGGGCAGTGGCTGAGGTGGTGCCTTCAGGCTGCCCTACGGCCCAGAACCTCCAGACACGCTCACCACACTTACTGCGCGAGAGGCTCTCCAGGGCTTTTCCCAACTTCTTGCTTTCCAGCAGGATGTGACTGAGCTCATCAAAGTCATGGCTGTCAGATCGGGACCAGGAATCCTGGGAAGGTCGCTCTCCCAACCTCGACACTGAAATCATCAAAGCAGCAGCACTTTGCAAACACCTTCACACACAGTAAAACTAGCCATCCAAAACCTACAGAGACCTACATTGACCTACACAGCAAAGATAATGGTGCTGTGTGACTATATTTCCATGTTCAGAAGCTTGTTGGTTTGAAACCCATGACTAACAGGACGATATCACTACTGAGTCCCCAAACAAGGCCCATAACCCCAAAACTGCCGAGAGGTGCAGGATAAGTGGCTGACCCTATGCTCTGACGTGAGGCATTACTCTCACCTGTATCTGTTTATTTCTGGAGAGCATGATGGGATACATGCAACACAAAGAATTCCTATGCACCTGCACTCACACTTGTGCAAATAGAAAATAAGCATCATCAGTATAAAATGTAGGTAAAACATTCAGGTACTTTCAGATACTCCCAAATCTTATCTATAAAAAGAAAATGTATTTAAAGTGCATGGAAGAAAGAAATATGCAAAGAAGCCTTATAGCCAATTCTATAAGTTCTGGGATAACCAAAATAAGGTGCGATAAACAAGATACAGATCTTAAGTAACATCCATCTGGTATGCAGATCAGATTATTTACTGTGCATGTGTGGCATGTGATTAAAACATAGGAAAAATGTATATTGATGCTAAACAATTACTACAGATTATTCAAAACACAAACGCATGTCTGATAATTATTCAGCCTAGACGTTCTGGCTAATAGGTCCCTCAATGGACAGGCAGCCATCTCCATCAAAATTCTCCTCAAGACCAATGTCCCATCTCGCCCCCTTCGGCCAGCAAACCAACACTGCTTGGAGCTCCTTCCACCATGTGAGAAGTGTCACTCCAGACGGGTCTCCTGTGGGCTTCCCCGATGGTGGAATGAGCTGGTGAACCACATCCGGTCACCAGACTCCCTCTCCACCTTCAAGAAACACCTCGAGACCCATCCGTTCCATGAATTCCCCCACTAGACCGATGCCTCTTCACGGTGCCTGAATGTTCTTAGGTTGCACTTCTGGTTATCGAATAGTCTAATAAGGTTCTTCCTTTGTTAGAAGTAATTCTGTAGCTCTTGCTGCAATACTGAATACAGCAGTATCTGGGATGCTCACCCTCACTGTACTAGCTGACTCCTTGACAGTATGCAGTTTGCCTCACTTGTAGGTCGCTTTGGACAAAAGTGTCTGCTAAATATGTAAATGCCGGGGCGCAGCAAATGGGGGGGAGGGGGGCCTCCCCCCAGATATCGACATGCCAGAGCATGAGGACAAAACATATACCGAACAAAGATCGCCATGAAAAATAAATCATTGTATCATATGGATCAGTTACGTTATGTTTACTTGTGAAACTGCACCCTAAACAGTGTTAATCTTATTCTAAATGAAACTGTTATTTTAAAATGTTAAAATCTGTCTTATAGTGCATTCCTTCACGTTGTTACTGTCGCATGTGTACCCATTGCCACGATATACAGCTCTGGAAAAAATTAAGAGACCTATATTTTTAAAAATCTGCATTTTTAAATCCTGGTTTAATCCCGGTTCTGCTGGCAGAAGGCCACACTGAGCGGCAGGCTGCTACCAGGTTCAACATTTCTAAGACAGCAGTACACAAGAACAAGGTGAAGCAGGAGACACTGGGAACGACCAGAAGCCAGCCAGGTAGAGGATGGAAGGGACTTCATTGATGGGAAACAGGGGAGAACCAGGCTGCAGCTTGTGGAAAAAAAAATTAAAAATCTTATTCACAGACACACACCCATAAAGTGAATAATGAGTGAAACAAAAAACTTTGATGTGGTCTCTTAAAATTTTCACAGTACATCGCACCTACCACTGGGGCAAATTCAGTCCCCCCCCCACTCCAATATCAAACTCCTTTTTTTTTCCCACTGTGGGAACGTAAACGAATTAATTGCATCGCATTGCAGTGCTGTCATCTTTGAGAGCTACTGCCTTTATTCAGTTTGTCAGTATAGCTACACTGCTGGGTTAGTGCAGCCCCACAGCCTCCCGTTATAAGCTGCCACGACAGATAGCAGATATGAACAGCTGATTTGGTAATGATCAACCACAGGTTTAAATTCTTACCACGCGGACGGAAGTAAGTTAAGAGGAAAAGATGTGAATCACGTTGACGTTACCGAAATATTTAACGACGTCTGGAGTACTGAAGCCGTTTTTCTGCATTGTAATTTCACATTGGAAAAAAAAAAATGACTGGGGAAGAGCTAATTTTATACAACTCATGCGGCGGAAACACGGAAGCACGTTCCATTTCTTTTCAATTGGCCTTACGCTCCCCCAAGTAATTTGTTACAATGTTCCACCATTAGTGCCATTTCTTCGTTCAGTTATCTGGGGTATGCTTAGTGCCCCGTGTTTCTAACACGACGGCAGCCCAAATGAGGCCTGCTGTTCACCGCTGGGTCTCACGTAAGCGTGCAAAAATAGTCGCACACAGAGCACGACTTCCAGACTCAAGCACGGGGTGAGAGAAGCTTATTATTCGCTCCCTTTACACATCTGTAACGTGAATGAGTTCAGCGCGGGGGCGATATCGATCACCCAGGAAAACAGCCCAGTCCCCGGGGACCTCCAAACGGCCCACGTTTTAGCTCCCTCTCAGCCAATCGAGAACAGAGACTGCCTGAAACAGTTACAACGGGAGCTGGGAGGGAGCGAAAACGTGGACTGGCTGGGGATCCCCAAGGACTGGGTTGGGTTTGTACACAGAAATGTGACGCGGTCCTCTGATCCTCCCATTGAACCCCCCGCCCCCGGGACTCACGGGACTTGGAGTCAGGCGAAGGGGGTGACAGAGTGCACATCTCCAGGTCACTCTTGGACTTCTTGGGCTTTCTGGGATGCTCCTGCCATGGTTTCTCGTGCCCCTTCAGGTCACGTCGTGCCCCTTTGGGGAACGCAAAAGCAAACAAAACACTTACAAATATATACGCAAAACAGACACCACTGTTATTGTAATTAATTTAGGTTTAGTCTTAGTCTTTCGGAGAAAATGCGATTCAGTCTTAGTCATATTTTTCTCATTTTTTTTTTTTAAAGCTTTGGTCTAGTTTTAGTTTGATGAAAATTAAATCAATTTCATCAATCTACATTAGATTCAGTCAACTAAATCTGCAGAATAGCTTTAGTCATAATACAAAATATTCACATTTCTTTGAACGTTTCGTTTTATTTTCTGTGTACACACACACACTGGGCTACCGCTGTCCTCGCTACACATTCCTGAAGGAAACATCTGTAAACTCTTTTATTATGGCATAGCATTAGCTTTGAACATGCGGTCGTTAAGGACACAGATTGAATTGAACAGCTGTTGCAATTATGAAAACACTGCTAATTTGAAACATGGCACTATTTCTAAAATGGCTTTATATGAACTTGTAATTAAATCAAATAAAACCAAAATTTAGTCTCATACAAAAAATTTCCATGACGCATCTTCATTCATATTAATCCGACACACAAAAAAAACACCAGAGAACGCAACTTTAATACAGAAAACTCAAGTGAACTCTCTCAAAAAACATAAACAGGTACAGTATCAGACTAGCGAAACCCAACTGATTCAGTTCATGACAGTGAACGTTTCAAACACATCAGAGAAAAACAACCGTTTGTTCCTGTTTGTTTCATGGCGCTTCAGTTATCGGTGTTTTAACCCGTTACTGCTGCCTCTCACAATTTGTCATGCCAAATGTGAAATTTATCCATATGTTAGCATGTTTTTTTTTCTTACTTAAATTCCATGGAGAGACAGTGCCTGCGTTCACCCGCTCGTACACACATTTGGTTGATGATAACTCAAACTAGTTAGCATGTTGGATGTGTTTTTAGCAACAAATCTGAGTTCACTATGATAACTAAGCCGACAGTAAGTCTTAGTCTTAACCACTTTTTCTCGAGTGCTGGTGTAATTTATTGTGAAACCAAAATGTTCCCAATCCACCAGGTATGACTGACTGTTACAAGCATTAGCCATGAACTCTCAGCCACAATTAGTGTAATGTTTTTAGCGTAATGTGAATTTAGAGTCTGCTGTATCCAAAAATGTGTTTGTTTCATTGTGCATACCGAACTGAAAATAACGTACCAAACTGTACACAACAAAAGCTCACTCCTGTAATTTCTACTTGTCAGATGGATGTATGGATTACGTGCTTGAAATCAATTAGATCAATTTTTTCCAATAATGTCCAAATTTCAAATTTGTCTCTTCCTTACATTTTTGTTCACTGACGAATGCATCAGAACATTTTGTCACAGTTTTTGGCATCATAGATTAAATTTTACTATCGTCCCATTTTCATCAATGAAAAATCTTCGCTGCCGTTTCTGGGATGCCCCTTAAAATGTCACCCTGCCAATGTCTGGACCATTTGTGACCAGCAGGGGGCTCCACGCAAACATGTGCTATGAGAGATAGCAAACACTGCCAATGTCCGTAGGGACTTACCAGCGCTGGGCGACTGGGCCCAGAGCGCAGCTGGACCGAGCAGGACCCTATGTAGCGACGCGGAACCACCCTGCCTGCCCTCCAGGTGGTTTATCAGGAATGGAACCGGATGGTCCGGCGTCTCGCTGATCAGCCTGGTCATCATCTCCTACAGGGACACCAGGAGAGCCAGAGCAGAGCCAGGGTTAGGAGTCAGGCACTCTGGGCTGGTATGAAGAAGAGGGCGAGGTAAGCTCCTGTCCACAGGTTCCCTACCTGGTACAGGTGACGGCTGGTCACATCTAGAACTGAAGGGAGCTCCTGGTGGATTAGACAGAACCAAACAGGACCTCTGACCTTCAGATCCTGAGATCTACTATTGTTATGGCACATTGTCTCGCTCAGCAGTGCCACGGTGGGAGCAGAGCAGCGTAGATATCCGGACCATTACCCCCACTTGGGTTTTCACATCTACCAACAATGAACCATCTCTAAGTGTTGAGGCTTCACTCCTCAACCTTCTGACAGTTACAGCAAACCGCTGCTGGTCAGACGGTTAATGCAACTCGACTGGGGTTGTGCTCAGTGGGAAAGCCCCCATTTGGAACAGATTCCCCAAGTTAGTGCTGAACCCCCTGGAAGGACAGGCTGAGTGTCTCACTACAGGGATACCAGCCCCCCCCGTAAGATGGCTAAGCTACAGCAACACCAGCCTTTCGGTTATGACGTGCAGTCGCAGGGCTGTCCGTTATGGTAATGGAGGGGGGGGGCGGGGCGGGGGGACAGTCCAGTACAGAGCCAACGGGAGGCAAAATGGCCACAGCTGCAAAGTCATATTGTGGGAGCATTCAGAGATACAATCACAGCCTCACCTTTGGTCACCTCCCCCTTCCCACGGGATGCAAGAGACCTTTAATAGGTATTTTCACTCAAATCAGCCAAAAATGAGAGAGAGAACTTGACCAACAAGAAAGACTTAACCAATTTAACACAGCAAAGCTTGAATATCTTGATTCCAAACAATCACCAAATCAGCAGTTTTGCGTTGGGTCCCCTAGTGTCTTTCTAAGATTTATAACTGAGTATGCGAAGCCACGCGCCAGCAGTGAGCAGTGCGCGTCAACCGCGCGCATACATCACGAGGGAAATTCTCCATCAAATTGTACAAGCAGGCAATGACAATGTCGTCGGTCGTATTAAAGTCTCAAAGTGTTTCAGGCGAGAGTGAAATCAAAATATCAAAGTCTTTTATGACTGTAACGCTTAATAATCATCAATCGTCAATGTAGGCAGTCCAGTTCCTTGAAATGTATTACGCACAAGTGTGCAAAATCCTGTACACTACATAGTATTGATCCTGTAACAAACACGCCCATCGCGAACCGACACTCGCTGGGTGAGTTAATTGGAAGGAGTGGTACCAGACAGTGTAACAGTAGTAATAATTACTAATAGGCCTACTACTAGTAGTAGCTACTACTACTATACTACTAATGGTATTAATAATATAGTGATAGTTTATTATTTATTATTATTAGTTTTTATCATCATCATCTGACATTTTTAACTTAATATAAAACTTGTGCTAAATAAACGTCCAGGTAATAATATACTTACTAATTACTGAAAAAAAAAAACAGTGTACATCGTAGATTCTTAAATAGTTTCTTCAACTAACCCTGGAAAATTAAGTATTTCTAATGAACTCTGCCTACTAACTGGCGGATGGGGTACAGTCCGGAAGCCCTAATCTGTAAGCGAGGCACCGTCTCTATCCAAATATGCGCGTTACACCTACCTCGAAGAGTGGACCGATTTTATTCTTTTCCAGGTATGCTTCAATCCTCGACTGCTGACAAGATGCCATAGCCTAATAAATTCGCGTGACGTTATAAAACAGTGAGGCGAGAGATCCCGGACTCGCGGCCCCTTACGGAATATGCAGCAGAAACTGGAAGATGGTCTTAAAGGCGAATGTAACCTCTGTGTGGTTACATGCAGAAAGTGTCTGGGGGAGATTTCGGGGGCAGTAAGTTTGACTGGGTGAGCAGCCCGCTGGAGAAAAGAGCGTCCCCGCAACGTCGCGCGCGCCCGCCACTGGAGAAAAGCGCGTCCCCGCGACGCCGCGCGCCCCAGCCGCTGGACTGGTCCGTCCCTAATTGCTTTTGTGCGGTCGCTCCGGAGCCGCAGCTCCGCTCCTTAGACCGGCGGGAAACATGTATTTAGCTTCATGAATTTCTGCTTGCGTGCGCCATCGACTGAAGCCTGCAAGTTCTCCGTGTTACACTTATAAATACGTGTTTGAGCGTTCTTCATGAACTAGCTCAGTACAGTATGTCTCTGGTGAACGATTTAAATCAAAGCGCTCAATGTGACAGAAGACCGCTAATGTTAGAATTAGGGCGCCAGTCCACCTGTTTTATTGCTAGTATATAGCTCGTTCGCAAATTTATAACACTGCTAAGTTATTTATATATTCTGACTTAATCGAGATCATTTATAATGCTTTAATGTCCGAAAAAAAGTCTTGGGTTTTCCCTGCTCCACCTAAAGTCGTACAAAAGTGATTTTAATCTGTACTTTTAACCGGTGTGTTGCGGAGTTACAGCAGTGGCATGCCAGTGGCGACATTGAGGAGTCCTACGCCAGGGATCCTCGGCTCTGAGCGCCGCTCCAGCCAGACGTCCTTAATGGGGAGACTGGAAGCGAGCCAAGGAGGGAGAGCATCCTCCGTCAGCCAGCGGCCCTTTCAGTCACTTTGCCTGATTAGTGTGGAGCGGAGGGCGCTCGAGGAGCCCGGCACGGGATGCTTAATTACCAGGATTTATTTCACTCAGGTAGGGCCCTTAGCCAGCATACAAAAGCCACCGAGCAGCCCTGTCAACGGACCCCTTTCCAGTGCGTCACCGCAAGCATCGCCCAGTATTTGTACAAATAAAATATACCCAGCCGCTAAGTTAATAAATCATTACATCTGGGCTATATACGTTTCCATTTAATATTCATACCACCCACCTACAGTTATTTTGCAGTAAAGGATAAGATGGTATGAAGATTACAATCGAAATTTGTTTATAATATAAACGTTTTTCATACGACCGTTTACTAACCATCACAACGTGATAAGGTTATATAAATTACACGTTATTGCATTTTACCAGGCTACAGAAGAAGACCCTTTAATTAAAAACTGGGTACCACGGGGAATAGGATGATTCAGCAATACAAGGCTTTGTGAGGAAGATAAAGGACCCTTTCCAGGCAGTGTACCTCCGTGCATTTCCACTCCCTCACCTGTACGGCAGCAGTTAGCGGCTGTCTAAATATAACCTAATTGTAGCAGGTGTTCAGACGTATGGGGCGCATAGAGATGAGCGCTGCTGTTCAGCGCTTCCTTAAAAAACGGTTTTCTAGACTTTTTTTTGACGACGACGTGAGCAGCGTTCGACTTAACTTCCCATAATGACAGTCCGTATTCCAGTACCACTAACAGCACAACTAAATCACTCGTTTTAAAACTACTCCGCAGCCTTGCAATCTCAGTATATCCAGCAGTCGCCCAAACAGCCTTCTCTCTCCCGAAGCAAACGACTGTGATCACGAGTAAATGATCTACGAACATGCAAATGTAAATTTGCACTTAGATTGAACCAGCCCATGCAGGTAAGAAAATATCCGTTTATTGGCTGGGATACTTATACCAGAATATTATCTTTTTTACCAAAGACATTCGTACTGAGAAGATTATGACGTAGTGTCTTACTTAGTAGTTTGAAGGCTGCCGTTAATGTGAGGAAGTAAATGTTCTGCTTCTTCACACCGAGTGAGATGTAACATCCATCAGGAGAATGTCTGGAATTACTCCTTTAATACATTTTGTGGAAGACAATTGCCTTCTGGAGTTTTCACCCTTTTTCCAGTTGAATCATTTAGGAAATCACATTTAAACACAACAGACATGGTGTTTTGATCTAAAGTATAGATTTCATGCGGCCCCGTTGACCTCACTGACCCGCAGAGCTGGGATCACGCTTAGCGTACCTGCAGTTTGAGATCTGGGGTGAATGAGGTGCGTTCTTGGTCTGCCAATTGTAGCAGCAAAAGTAAGCCTAAATAATGAACATAGCTGACTCAGCGTGCAGCCAAAATCATATTAAAAGATGCAATATAGTTATGTGCTGCGGGGGAACATTTTAACTTGCATTTTGGACCATACTCAATATTGCATGGTGTTCTGCGTTAATTGAGTAATAACAGAAGTCAGTGGGCGGAATTAGTGCATACTGGCTCTTCCTGTTGGGTTAAACCCTGTGGTCGACATCACACAGCATGTCACACGCTGTGGGATATAAAACCTCACTTATGCCATTACTATTGTTTATCCTGTGGCTCCTAACCTTGCTCAGTTTTGTAACGATACTGCGTCACTCAGTGGGATAGGCGACGACCCGTGAAGGTCAGGCGAAGGAAAACGACAGAGCTGCGCCTTTGTGGGGCTGACCCGGTCCAAACGGGCGTTACAAGCTCTTGGGGAAGTAATCTTTCAATCTAGCTAATTTAGCTGAGTGCAGCAGTAATGGGTTGGTAAAGACGTAGTGCGGGGAGACAAAGCCAGAGTATGATAAACGAGCATCAAAACACTGTGTTAAAATATTTTTAGTCAAATATTCTATGGAGAAAACAAATTATGCTAAAATTTCAAACTATACACCTAAAAGGGTGCATATGGAAAAACTACGTTACCAAATACAGCATCTTTGGATTTGAGACCAAATAACCATAATAACCAAATGTTCTTGAAAAAATACTGCACTATCTACCCGTTTTTCATCCATTGATCTCATCGGCCTCCACATCTGCACCAGACAGAAACCTCAGGCCCGCGTCTACGCTCAGGCCACTTAACAGTACGGCTTTTCAGAGCAGTGGCCTGTACTACGAAGTGGGGTTACTGGCTTGTCCGGGTAACTTGTCGGATTTAAGGAACCACAGTTTAAATGGACTTCGTTCACTTACATTTTGCCCAGACTACCTTAAATCCGACAAGTTACCCCCGATAAGCCAGTAACCCTGCTTCGTAGTACAGGCCACTGGAGGATAAAAGAAAGTAAAACTGCAGCATGAGGCTTAGTGCCTCCTGCTGGACAGATGATCTAACTACAGTTTAACCTTTGGCACAGAGCTCCAGCCTCAGTACAAGGTAGCATTGTGGGTAATAATGTTTCTCATACGCCCGTCTTCTGCAGAATCTCCTTCATGCTCTTGATTGTCTTGACGTTCACTAAAAACTTTTGTTAAAACCATCGGAGCACCTTCAAATATTTATCTATCCTTCAAGATTTTCTTCAGCTGGGGGTTACGACAGTACTGATCCAGCATTCTTTAAAATGAACGAGAGGTAGTGAACATTTTCGCTGGGGTGTCTGAGCCAGTTTTAAGGTGCTGGAACTTGCAATACTCCCTTCATGGGAAGATCCAAGCACGGCCTGAGGCTGGGATGAGTGTGCGGACAGGTCGTGCAGGGGTGAGGTGCGATTAGCCGTGGTAGGTGGATGGGCCCTCCCAGGTAGGCCCCAGGGCCCTTCCTGCTGGGCTCTCCCCTTGATCCTGATCCGTCAGCAAACTCTTCAGCGTATCCGAGGTACTGGGTCTCATCCAAGTCTCGCCGCCAATCAAGCCGGCTTCAGAGCGCATGCAGGAACTGTTGGTTCGTTCCGTGGGCTGCCTGCTCCCTCTGGATCTCGTCTCCTACACAGAGCGCAGATGGTTCGGGGTCAGTCAGCCGTGCGGCACCTTTCAGTGGGAAAGGCTGACGAGTCTCGCCAGCGGAGGCTTGGTGGTTATGAGTGTGTGTGCACGAGTGCGACCAGTGAATGGATGCATGTCTTTCTAAACCGCGAAGTGGGAACAAGGGTGATGACTTGCATTGTGGAAGTCTGTCTTCCGCGCCATCCTCCGTCGCTCCCGTGCTGAGAGGAGTTGGGTGTCTGGCGGGACCGAGATCGCCTGGCCGCCTGGACCTGAGTGACAAACTTAGCTCAGGACACACGGTGGACACACGCCAAGATACTAATATCACGACCTGCCTGGGCCTTACCAATAAACGAGCTCTCCGATTCCAGGAGCGAACTCCTCTCCGGACGCTCCATGCGGTTTGTCCGCTGGAACGGGAAACACACACCAGGTTTAGGACGATGTCATACCGATGGAGCGCTAGTGACTTCGGAAAAGAGCCCAGCAAATCTGGCTGGGAAAGCTAAGCCGAAACTGGTAAATGCTGGAGGAGGGAAAGAACAAACGCTGGCTTGAAAATATAGAGGTAACAGCAGGTCGGCTCTGCAGCCTCATGCCGGCAAGAGGCCGTGGATTTGCTTTGGCGACGGTGTCGAACCATGGGCCGGACGCCACTCACAGAGCCGTGGGTCTGCCGGGCCGGATCTGACAGCTGGCCCGCACCTACAGAGAGAGACGGCGTCAGAGGAGGTATGGCTTTCCAAGATGTGCCATGGAGGATGTGATCAGAGAGCATGCTCGAGAAGCCGTTATTCGAAGAGGAGCAGCATAGCGAGGGATAGTATCAGTGTTGTGAGTGAGTCTGTGATCCCACCCACTCCAGGCGGTTGGCCAATCCCTGGACTTGCCTCTGTTTCTGGATTGGCCGAGCCCGGGGCTGTTCTGGATGTTAATTGATTCTTCAGTCTTAGTTGAGGGTCTCTTGACCGGTGCCTGGAGGCGCAGTCTGGCCATGTCAAACACATCCAGCAGGGGGCGCTCCCTGCTTCTAGAAATTAAATGGAATTGTCTTACTGCCAGAACACAATGCAACCCCCCCACCATACACAAACACCTGAGAGCTCTGCACTAGCACAGACATCCGGAGCTGCAGGCTTCCTCGTACCCGACACTCGGGGGCGTGTCCAGCTCCTCCATGTCCACCTGCAGCAGCTGCTCCTCCAGGCGTCGCTGTTCACTGCGCAGCTGTCTGCGCAAAGCAGACAGCTCGCTGAGGATGCCCCGTCTCTCTTCTGGCGCAGGCAGGCACAGACAGACAAACATCAGCTTGGACCAGTTGGGAGACCACAGGTGACACGGAACATGCCGGCTGACGCGGAACATGCCGGCTGACGCGGAACATGCCGGCTGACGCGGAACATGCCGGCTGACGCGGAACATGCCGGCTGACACTATACCTGCGGCCCTCAGCTGGTTCCTCCTGGCAGGAACGGGTGGGGACTGGGATCCAGAGAGCTGGTGTTCCTGGGGGGGGGGCACCACAGCCATCAAGCCCTAATCGCTACCATCATCCCCATAGACTAACTGAATCCTGCAACACTGACAATCAATTACCCCTCAACCATTTATAACCGACTTTCAGCTCTAATGATGGACCCCTGGGCTACAAGATATGCAGCAACAGTATAATAGGCTACAGCAGTGCTTCCCAATCCGGTCCTCAGGTTCCCACAGGCAGTCCACGTTTTTGCTCCCTCCCAGCTATGCAGGCTGTCTGGTAGGGGGCTTGGAGGGAGCAAAAACGTGGACCGACCGGGAAGCACTAGGCTAGAGACTCACAGGCTGCAGAGGCGCAGGATGTCCACTGTTGCTCGGAGGGCGTGGCTTGTACTGGGAGGTGGGTCTCTTCTGCAGGGTGGGGATTGGCGGAGAGGGCTCTCTGGGCACCTGGCCACGGCATGGGGGGGCTGTTAATGAGGTCATCTGACTACGTGAACCCCCCCCATCCAGTTTAAACCTATAATCTACCTCAACACATAGAATGAGATTTTAGTTCTTTTTGGTTCCCGTAATGAGCCTGTGACATCACCCTGCCCCAGTGTATTCTGGGACAGGCTCCAGCTGCCTCCTAGTGGGCAGATCAGGAGCATTAGGGGTTTAATCGTGTGCGCAGCACCTCCTCCAGCCGGGCCCGCCGCTCCATCTCGTACTGCCTCCTCTGGCTCTCGCTCTCCCGGTTCTCACGCTCCTGCTTTGTGTGCTGCTCCTCCCGCCGCCGCACCTCTGCCTGCCGGAACAGCTCCTCATTTTTGGCCCTTTGCTGCCGGAGAAGGGGGGGGCCATGAGCTCCGGGACCTGCGGCACTGTCATGGGGAGCCCGCGGTTTTCCCTGCTCAGGACACTGACCTCCATCTCCTTCCTCCTCCTTTTCTCCTGCTCCTCCTCATACTCCCGCCGGATCTGCGCCCTCTGCTCCTCCAGCCTCCGCTCCTCCATCTCCTCCTCCACCCTCAGCCGCACTCGCTCCTCAGCCTGGCGTCGGCGCTTCTCCTCAATCTGGGGGGGGGGACCCCTCAGGAACATGGGCTACCTCACGGAACATGGGCTACCTCACGGAACATGGGCTACCTCACAGCAAGCAGGGCCCACAAGAGAAGAATCACAGGTGCGCCCTCACCTGCTGTTTCAGGTAGTCCTTATAGCTGTCTTGCTGGTGAGCTGGCGAGGGTGTGGACAGTCCTACTGAGGCGCCACCAGGGGGCGCTGAAGACGCATCAGCCAATGCACCATCTGAGAGCCGCAGAGAGGTCGAGCTCAGGCGTGGGAAGCGGAACACTCAAGAGCCAGAGAGGTACAACGATCCATTCAGAGGGGCCGTGCGGGGGACGAGTACCTGGGACCCTGAGGTCAGAGGGGCCGTGCGGGGGACGAGTACCTGGGACCCTGAGGTCAGAGGGGTTTGCTTCACTCTTCCTGTCCAGGGGCCCCATCCCACGACGGCCCAGTGATTCGGGGTGTAGGTATGCCACCTGGTTGGACTTGTGCATCTGGTTCAGGTCAGCTGGTGAAACACAGCAACAGTTTCTCACAAACGGGTTAGACTACTAACCACAGACCAGCATTAGTAACGTGACGCGCGAGAAACACAGCCGGTTCCAGGCAGTTAAGAAATCCATCCATCAGGGTCACTGCTTTTATAATAAACGACTCCATCAGCCATGAATTGTATGTAAACACTCTAAGCTTTATAAAATGTTCACGGTCGCCCGTATTGTGAGCATCTCCGCCTCTCAGGCGAGGTTGACGGAAACGCACTGATGAGGTTGCCCAGATGATCTCTGAGGGGTGCACCGCCACCTCCCCGCCCCCAGGGGGTGTAAGCTTCCCTCTCCAGCCTGGCTTCGTACTGCTCCTTCTCTTGCAGCTCCTTTCTCCGGCGTTCCTGCCTTTCCTGGATCTGGAGGGTGGAGGACACTGTAACACCAGGTGGGGAGACGAGGGGGCACTGTAATGGACTTCATGTTTCCACCATACCTGCTTCTTCAGGGCCTCTTGGTAGGTCAGCGTGGGTCTCTCCATAGGTGTGGCTGTCATCCCTGGCCTGGAGAGGGGTGTTAGCATTAGCGGTGGCTAAAGTTAGCCTAGCATTTTAGCCTAGTTGAGCTATCCCTTGTGTAGATGGATCAGTGCGCAGGAGCCTGATCCCAGAGGTGGCGATCAGATGCCGGTGTAGCTCTCCCTCTTTCAAAGTGGACCCACCCACACTCTGGCTTATGGGATCAACCCTGCTGCCAACCTCCAGAGCACCATGTGACACTCACGTTAACTGGCTGGCTCGCTGTGTCCGTGATGGGGACGGACAGCAGTCCTGGGATGGGGCAAAGACAGGAAAGTCTGGCTCTCCCCCTGGAGGACAGACATGCCAATAGCATCAGCTTGTCCTTCCAATTACCCATCTGGCTGCCCGACCCAGACCATGCATAATACCTAGCATCCACTAGGGGCGCCGAGGCTGCTATACGTTTGGGCTACTTACAGTGGGCCGAGCTGGGCCGCTGGGCCTTCCTGGACCCCTGGCAGAAACAGGCCTGCTCACTCAAGGTCCTGTAGACATCAGTCAATGTGGATGGCTGGGGAGGAGGGACACTAAGCACCAAGAAAATAAGCAAATGACAAAGAATAGTACAGTAAAAAACACACTCGTGGGTGTATTACTCAGTTTGGGAAACTAGACCTTTAGTGACACTATACCTGTGGAGGGCCTCGTCCCTCATCGCACTCCAGACACCCCTGCTGAAGGTCTCTTTCACCGGAGAGAGCCTGTTGTCCCCGATGGACTCTAGCGCCCCCAGCAGGGGGGAAGGAAAGGCGACGCGTGGCCGTTCCGGGGGCATCTTATCCAGGAGCGGACTGCAGGGGGACCTCCTCAGGCTGCTTCCCCAGCGGGGACCCTCCGCCCCCTCCCAGGGCCGCTGCAGCACAGCCCCGCCCCCCATGGTCCAGAGCTGCGGAATTCGACCCGGCTGGCAGGTGAAACAGACTCACATCACCCCTCTGCTGAAATACGGAGGTGCTGGAGATTCTGGGCCAGCATGCAGGGATGGGACCGGTTACTGTAAAGGTAACATCTGAGCGGATCCATATAAACACGGAGGACTTTCCAAATGCAAAATCAAAAGATTTAAAAGAACCAAAAATGGAAAAACCATCAAAATAAGGATGAACCCTCCCATTGAGCCCTGTTTTTTGTGTTATCAGAAGAGCAGAAAAATGACCTGTTTCTCAGGGTCGGTGGCCCCAGTAGCGGCTACATCGAGCTCCAGGTCCTTCTCCCTGCAGAGGGAAATGGGGGCAGAGTTAAAAGAAATACTTCACCAGCCGCCGAATACCTCAGAGCAGGAACAGCCGCTCTGTGGCCACACACATACTAACAAGCGCACGCTAACATGCTAATGCTAACAAGCGCACGCTAACAAGCTAATGCTAACAAGCGCACGCTAACAAGCTAATGCTAACAAGCGCACGCTAACATGCTAATGCTAACATGCTAATGCTAAAGTACCATCTTTTTGCCCAGGATGCGAAACACTCCGCTAACCCCTGACCTCCTTCTGTTCTTCCTCTGCTGGGCAATCTGCTCCTCCAGCTCCTGCCGGTAGTGCTCCTTCCTCCTCCGTTGCTCTGCTGCAGCCTCCTGGTGGCCTGTGGACCCAGGTGTCAAGGTACATCTTCCCCATACTGCAGTCACGCAATCTTAGAGAACACTTTACATTTAGACGACACCACACCAGCACGGGCCCAGACGAACCACCACGGGCCCAGAAGAACCACCACAGCCAGTTCATGGAAGCATTTCAAACTTACTGCCATAAAAAAAAAAAATCCACATATGTTTCATTTGCAAACACCGAAGGCAGAGATCTTACCGATCATTAATCCAGAGGGGTACTGTAGCCTGTCATCATCGAGACCTAATCTGGACCGAACTGGGACCAGTGTCTGTACCCTGGGACAAATGAAGTCGGGTCAAGTACTGGCAAATCACCTGCCTCTCCTAAAGCTAACCCAACAGCCACCCCCATGACCCCACAGGCTAAAGCATGTTGGTGTTTATTTTTAGCCCAGACAAATCTGCCCGATTCCTGCCTGCATCCTGCCATTCCCTCCAGAGAGGCCAGTCCCAAACCAGGCCGGGTGACACGGGCCAGACGCTCAGCCAGCCAAGGGACCAAATCAATTCACACTGGTGATGTTTGCTTTCAACACTGCAGCTGCTGTTATCTCACTAGTAAACCTTTAAAAAGCATAATATTGGTTTTCTACATGTCCGTTTTCAGCTGATTTTTTTTTTTGCCCAGTTATATGAAAAGAATATTTAGTCCTGAGACTAAAACCAAAGTCAGGTTTAAACTTCAAACACTATTCAAACAGGTTAAGCATGAAAGACTGCGAACTTTTATAAGTTTGTACCACAACCTTGAAACCACAATAACAGCCAATCACAAAGACTCTCAGTGTTTCCTTGGGGAGGCCCAGACAGCCCAAGTTTTTGCTCTCCCCCAATTCCCTGGGAGTTTGGAGGGAGCAAAAACACGGACTGTCTGGATCCCCCAGGACTGGATTGAGAAACACTGTCCCACAGTGCTGTCAACAGCACAGTGATGAATTTCTCAATGAAATAACTGAACATACTACCTGGGTATCGCGGTCCCTTGTCTTCTGTGTCTATAGTCCTCCGGGACTGCAGGGGGCTCCACCACCCTCTTCTGCCTGAGCAGTCTGTCAGAGACAGCGATTCCATTGTTTTAGCTTTGTGATATCACAGAACGTGGCACGAAAATAAATGCGTTAATGAAATTTATGAAAGCGATTTCATTATGTTAATAAAGGGTATCAAATTGAAAAAGGGAAAAGCATGTTACTCTACAAGCAAGGAGCTTAATGAACATTTTTCAGATTTTCTAAGCAGTTTCATTTACAGACGCGACTGGAACCTGGCAGAGAGAATAAACATGGACTGTCTATTGCCCCCCCAGGACTGGACTGAGAAACACTGTATTAGAAGACATGTGCCAGACTGTTCTTTAGTGACATTAAGGTGCTACAGGATTCTGCAGTGAAGTATATTTACCTGTCTATTCCATAGTATTTCTGCTGCCGTCTTCTGTCTGAACTTCTAAGCTCCTGTTGGCGCCTGATGCGTCTCCTGCCATCCCGGTCCCAATCCAGGAGGTCCACCTCCTCGCTGGAGCAGTCCAGCCCAGAGTCCACTCCTACATCCCTCGACCTGCTTCCCCGGTCAGTCTCCGCCTCCGTCCCCTGACCTCTGGATGGCCAAGGCACCTCCTCTGTTGAAGTGGCCGCGTCTCTCTTAGGCCGACACTCTTGAAGTACTTCTGGTTTTGGGTTGAAGGGAACCTCAGAATGTTCTGGAGCAGTTCTGGAGGCACGGCTGGGTCCCCGCATCTGGTATGACAGGAAGACAGACCGGTTTGTCTTATGGGTCAGATGTTACTGGTGCGTCCAGTGGATTTCATGACAGTGCCATTACCTCAGATACATCACATCATGTCAAGCTTGAATAGCATCTACTGACTGAGCCTGGCCGGTTTACCTGAAAGCTTAGATCACCCAGCACAGCTACTCTGATTTATACTTAACTTAACAGGCATATTCCTGGGTTCGGGGAGCAGAGCAGACCAGAGTCGCTGGAGTACTTGGGTTTAAGAGGCTTGCTCAAGGGTCCAACAGTGATATTACTCTACCCACATTCGAACCCATGACCTTCTGGTCCCATGCGCAGATACCAAACCCAGTGAGCCATTCCCTGTTTATCAGGAGTGTCCAGCCCCAGTGTCAGACTGCTAGCCCTGATTTTCATTACCTTAGCTGGTTTGACCTGAGCCATGTAGCGTCTGTAATCCAGACGCAGCTCCTGCTGAAGCCTCTGCTTCTTCCGCTCATACTCCTCCCCCAGGGGCAAACTCAGACCGGGGCCTTCTTCTGCGGAGCAGAGAGCATGGTACAAAGTTAGCAGCTAACCAACCACTCCCCCCTGCCCCGTAGATCAGGCTGCAGCTTCATAAACACTCAAGGCAGAAAACTGCAACACTGACAGTCTGGCCAGGTTTGAGAAAGAAAAATCACTCTGTGTTTGATTTTTGCTCTCCTGTTACTAACTGTCATTCGCTTTGCCATTCCTGGTGTACCAGGTGTTCCTGGGGACGAACAGGATTGGTCACCTCTAGCTGTACCTTTTGATTGGCTGTGACGTGGCCCAGGGGCCAATGGGATGTTCTCTTTCCCAGTGGAGTCACGCTCACTCTGAGGCCTGGTCTGTGGAAAAAACAACCCACACACAATAATCTCATACTGCATCTCCCATACCTTTAACACACAGGACAACCTGGAACAACCAAGTCCCCTACATAAGGCCAAAAGGGCCTCAGTCTGAGCCCTCACAACCTGTCTAATAATTGAAATATTTGATATCTCTGTGAAATGAAATCGACAGTTTTATTCCCTCAATCCTTTAAGCGTGGCTCTAGTTGACGGACGTACCCGTATCTCCATATAGGGAGGGTCCTGCTCCAGACTGGCCTTGTCTTCAGCCACTTTAGCCCTCTGTTCCTCCAGAAAGCTCTCAAGATCATCATCCATCTCCATTCACCAGTTGAAAGGTAGTCTGAAGACAAGACACACGGTAATCCAAGACTTAATGCAGTTTCTCGGTTAAATCTGTTAATATTCCAATATTATTGCTCATTTTAAACAACAGAGTAGTACTGTTTTGAGAAACATTTTTGTAAGAAATGAGCTGCAGGTATGAATAGGACAGAGTAGATTTAGGTCAGCAGAAATCATCCCAACCTGACACCATTAGGATTCCTGTTTGTAAGAGTTAAATCTGAGCTGTCCATGCAAACTGTGTTGCAGATATTTTCCATCCAGCTTTCAGCTAATAAAACTCTTTTTGGAGCAAATACAACATCACCTGACTTCAACTAGTAAACAAAAAATGGCTCAAGCATATACAATGGTCCAGTCAGTACATTGTTCACACCTGGAGAATACAGATACATCACTGGTTTTACAGTCAGCACAAAAAACACCCCACATAGGACAATTCTGGGTCTAGAGGCTGCCCCCCCCCTCACAGACTATACCTGAACTGACATGCACCGGTCACGTGCATGAATTGTGACTCTCCTTCCCATTCTGCCCAAAACACTCATCACTGCCAGCTGTCACTGTGCCAAAAGCCAATTTAATCACAATGCATCGCCAACATTCGATCTGGCAACTTCTCAGACTAATGTTTACCTCTAGCTCTATCTAGGGATTAAATGTGTATAAGAAATAGTTTGTATTAGTGACTACGAATTCTATGTGTAAAACACAGCCCAGAGAGAGCATAACTAAACGCTGTCAAGTAAAGAAAATGTGNACTAATGTTTACCTCTAGCTCTATCTAGGGATTAGATCTTTATAAGAAATAGTTTGTATTAGTGACTACGAATTCTATGTGTAAAACACAGCCCAGAGAGAGCATAACTAAACGCTGTCAAGTAAAGAAAATGTGTCAGTTTAATCGGCGCCTTTTCTATTTATGTAATCTGTAAAAAGTGTTCGGCGCGGTCCGGCACCAGCGTCACAGTGGTCGATGCATCTTTTCCATCCAAAACATACGCTCGTCTTTTATTACTCAACAATCTCCACAAACTGTGGACTGCAGTGCCGTCCTTTCTCAGCCACACAAGCAGATTCCCAAAATGCATTTTCGTAATTAAGGCGGTAAACACACGTGTTACGGGAGCCCCGGCCAGCGATCTGGGTAACTGGGTCCGTTACACACCAGCCATCATTAGCTAAACTGACACCGCTGCTAAACGAAAACATACAAATCCAAATAATGCCGAATATCTCGGCTGCTTGGTCTATGCTGACCGGCGGAAAGAAATGATTTTCGTTATTTAAAAAAAATCCAGTCAGAGCAAGATCTGGGACACAAAGTACAACTAACTACTCATCTAAATGGGTCGTTAGTCTAGCGCTCAGATGATCTGCGAAAAATGTTTTAAACAGACGGCTCACAATGCTGGCGAATCCCGCGAAAAGCCCTTGGAAGCGGCCCGTCCAGCGGACGGCAACAGATGCGGAGAAAGTTGCAGAAGCGACGGATCCCGGAGCGCCAGTAAATCAGAGGAAGCGGGTAACCGGAAACCACATTCAGAGCGACCCCTGGTGGTCCGGAGTAGGCTGCGCACCCTCATTCGGGATGTGTGTCTGGATCAGATCAGTTTCCGTTCGTTGTTTATTAGTGTAGAATTAATCTAAAGCATTCTCAGGCGCTCAGTCATTCACATGATTACAGGTGTGATATTTTACAGGCATGCATATTTTTCATTAATGCATAAAAAGCAACATTAATCACTAAGCAACGAACCGTTGGCTCCATCGAAGTCTCCGTGGGAACCATCAGCTGGTTTCGTAAACAATGCCGTAAAAACATTCTTTTAAGGCTTTTCGTGCAGTTATTAGGGAATGTAGCTCAGGGGTTTCCTGCAGTTATTAATTTATAGTCTATGTACCAGGATGGCCGAGTGGTTAAGGCGTTGGACTTAAGTTCCAATGGATTGTTGTCCTCGTGGGTTCAAACCCCACTCCTGGTAATAATCATTGTTATGGGAAATGCATTTATACGTAGGCTGTGTGAGACCTTGGCTTATTGTTGTACTCAGCATTTAATGAACACTATAGAACAAGGTGCTTAAATTTCATACGGGAGGTGTGTGGTTCAGGGGTGTGTCCTGAATCTATAACCAGAATATTGCTGGTTCAAATCCCATGGTGAGCAGAACGATTTTGTTGCTAAACAAGGTCCTTAACCCCCACTTTTGTCCATGGATTCACTGACTCTGCTCTCAATTGTACTTCACTTTAAATAAAACCATTGTATTGTTTTATTCAGCCGGCAGCAGACCTACCATAAGGCAGGATCCAGGGGCCCATGAAGAAATTTCCAGAAGTTATACTTATGAATACAAGACAAGCAACATGTCTGTTATTTGCATTTTTAGCGACAGCTTTCAGAATAGACAACGTTGTCCCCCGCCCCAGCTGTAATAGACTATTTCTACCAACAGGAGTTGGACAATGAAACTGAAAGTCCTTGTTATAAACCAGCATTATTTACTAGTGTGGTGTACGGGCTCCTTTTGCAACCAGTACAGCATCAATTTATCTTGGGAATGACAGATAAAAGTCCTGCACAGTGAGCAGTGGGATTTTCAGCCGTTCCTCTTGCAGATCAGTGGCCAGGTCACTAGGTGATGCTGGTGGATGAAGACGTTTCCTGACTCGCTCCTCCAAAACACCCCAAAGCGGATCAATAATATTCAGATCTGGTGACTGTACAGGCCATGGGAGATGTTCAGCTTCACTTTCATGTGCATCAAACCTCTCTGCCACCAGTATTTCTGCGTGTATTGGTGCATTATCATCCTGATACATGTCACCGACTTCAGGGTACAATAATTGAACTGTGGGTGAACATGGTCCTCCAGAATGGTTTAGTTGTCCTTGGCAGTGACACACATCTAGAACAAGTCGTGGGCTTAGGGAATGCCATGATATTGCAGTGCAGACCATCACTGGTCCCCCCCGTGCTGCACTCTGGGTATGCAGCAGTCCGTGCGGTAACCCTCATTGGGGCTTTTCCACACTGTAACTGTAGGAAAGACAGTGAAGGGGGACTCATCAGAGAACAATACATGTTTCACACACACACACACACTGATAACGAAGACTAACATAAGGCAGGTGTGAATCATTAAAAACAGCCAATCAACAAGGGCAGAGGGCAACAAGATGCAGGTGAAGCAACTAAAACTGATGAACACAAAACTAAGGAATTAGAGACCTGAAACTAAGGAAACAGGGAAATTCTACACTAGGGAAATAAACAAGAAAACAAAGTACAACATAAAACCAGAACAGAACACAAGAAGGGCAAACCTAGAACAGGAAACATGAAATGCTGGGGAACAGAAACTCATATACAAAGAGAGAGATAAGAGTGGTCATTAGCCAGCCTTGAACCCATGACTGGGGGAATGCAGTCCCTAACCCACCCACTCAACCAACTGCACCATGCAGCAAGCCAGGGACTTAGCGGAGCACACTGGGGCTGAAGGACAAGAGACAGGGTGGGGAACAGGATGGCCAACAGCACCTGCTGGCCAATCAGGGAGGAGTCACAAAGGGCAGGGTGGGACGGGTGCTGAGCCTGACAGGAATGTGCAGGGCAGGGTTGGACGGGTGCTGAGCCTGACAGGGATGTGCAGGGCAGGGTTGGACGGGTGCTGAGCCTGACAGGGATGTGCAGGGCAGGGTTGGAC